TGGGGGTGGGGGTGGGGGGAGCAGAGCAATGGGAGATGGGGAGATGAGCCAAAATGGAGTGAGCAAGGGGGCATGGGACAGAGTCATCCTAGGAGCCTGGTGCTGTGCAGGGGGTTATCCACGTCAGCCCATCTCCCCAGCCGCAGAGTTCCCTCTAAGCTGCGCGGCAGCACGGCCCCGCAGCTGATTAATGAGTCCTGCCCAGCCAGGGGCTCAGGGCTCCGTGCATGGAGCTGCCTGGTGGGGGAAGGGCACTTCTCCCTCTGACAGCAGCAGCTCCCGGCTGAGGACAGAGCAGCGAGTCTCTCCCAGCCGGTAGGGAGGGGACGTGTCCCCACCTCGTTGCTCTGTCCTCAGCCTGGAGCTGCTGCTGTCAGAGGGAGAAATGCCCCTGCCCCAGCCAGGCTGCTCCATGCCTGAGCCCTGGGTTGGGTGGGGCTCATTAAGCAGCCATGGGGCTGTGCTACTGCTGAGCGTAGAGGGAATCTGACCAGCAGCCCAGCCCTGTGCAGAGTTATGCCTTGTCCTGTCCCCCTCCAGGGCGGCCTGAACTCCATGGTATACGTGAAGGTTTTCCTGGAGGATGTGAACGATAACAGGCCGGTGTTCTACCCGCTGGAGTACGCGGCCAGCATCAGCACCCAGAGCATGCCAGGCACAGCCGTGCTGCGCGTCACGGCCCACGACAAGGACGAGGGCCCACACGGGAAGGTGACCTACCACATTGTCTCAGGGAACTCGCCCCCTCTCTTCTCTCTGCACAAGGACACGGGTAAGAGCTTCTGGTGCCCTGGCCAGCCTGGGGCAGGGTGGGGGGAAGGGAGCTTCCCCTAGCTGATGTTCAGCCTGCTGCTGACAGAGGCCCTTGCTGTTCTCCTGGGCCCATTCCCTCCCCATGACTCCTTCTCCCCCAGGCCCTGACTCCTTCCTTCCATGCCCAGATCCCTCCTTCCCCTGGGTCGCGGCTCCATTCTTTGCAAGCCAAGAGCTTCCCAGACCCTACTGTCCACAGGCCCAGAAATCCCGTTCCCCCAGGCCCTGACCCTATCCTTCCCAGAACCCACTCTCTCCTCAGGATCCATTTCCTGGGCTCTGAGGGTATGTCTACATTACAGCACTAATTCGAACTAACTTAATTCGAATCAGTTAATTCGAACTAAGCTAATTCGAACTAGTGCATCTAGACCTAAAAACTAGTTTGAATTAGCGTTTTGCTAATTCGAACTAGCATGTCCACATTGAGTGGACCCTGAACCGGGGTTAAGGATGGCCGGAAGCAGTGCCAGCAGGGCATCAGATTAGGACTTAGAGCGTGGAGCTGCTGTCTCAGGCTAGCCGAGGGCTGTGCTTAAAGGGACCC